ACTTAGTTCGATCAATGTATAACCACTGATTGCAAAGTGGTTATATACACGTTAAATGTAGAAAGGACGAGAAGGAGCGCGAGTATTTGGCGAAGAGAGCTAACGCCGTAGCGGTCGATTCCCTCGAGATGTACGCAGGAAAGAGTACGTTCCCTTGGAACGTGTATGCACGCAGATATAGAAACGTGGAGAGAGAGGTAAGGAGAAAAGAAAGTGTTAAAACATACCGACGCCGTTTGCCTGGGATGACTGAAGTTGCACGGCGACGCTGAAACCGCGTAGCTTCACCGGTGCTGAATTTTCCTTGCCCGCTAAGAGGGCGCACTGGGGCTTTAGATCACGATGAATTATGTCGTTCTCGTGGCAGTAGCGCAACGCCTCCAGGATCTGTCGCATGTAATGGCTGGAAAAACGAAAACTCTTGTTATATCGGTATCCTGCGGGAGATGAGGCAAAAAATATACGTATATGGCCACGCGTTGTCTATTCAGAATAGATGGATGAAAATTTTCTACTCCATCGCGACCTGGCATGATAGCTGAAGCGATATGTCGGTTGAGATTGGTCACAGATTTATATAGAGGAGGAAGATTTAATATAGTGGAGAAAAGAATATTGAAAATTTTGATATGTATACAATATTACAAGTTAAATTGTACATAAGAAGATAATTCATGATTTCTATTTAAATTATATTTCGAATATATGAATATTTATTATCGTAATGTATTAGAACAATCGTTGCAAATTTTCCTAATTAATTTATGTAATTATAATTAATACCCAAATGTTTCATTCTAATTCCTAATACTAATTCCTAATACTAATTGCTGTCATATATTTCCTTAATATGATATAATATGATATAATAGGTTATGAAATTATTCCCTGTATGATCTCTGGATAAAAGCTGTAAATATATATCGAAAGTTTCTAAAGTAGACATTTTTTTATACCAAGACAAGTGAACAAATAATAAAATGAAATACGACAACTTTGAAACCAGGTCAGATAGTTTTGTACATTTATATGTATGTCTAAAGTTAAAATTTTATCAAATATTCTATAAATTGTTATTTTCAAATTTTTATTTTACGACAATAAATATTACAATATTCAAAAACTAATTTAATTTTTAATTTTTATAGGTAATTGAATACGAACAATGAGAACAATAGAACTCGTTTTATATTAAAATAGGAATGCCTATATATATATAGGTATATTGTGGCTGGCATATTGAGAAAGAATTCAAGAGAGAAATAGAAAAAATAATTTCATCGTTTACAAATGCCTAAAAAAAAATCTAACTAAAATACTGTATTATTGATCACATAACAAATTTGTATATTTATATAATATACAATTAGCAAAAATATAAATTTTAAAAAATTTTAAAGAATTGAATTATAAAAAATATTTATTATTTTTTAAAATCATATTCATATTGTTAATAATTTAGAAAATGATTAGCACGAATCGATAGAAAAACTAATAAGAAAATCAATATTAACGCAAATACATAATAATAAACTTTTGATTGATAATATATACTCAATGAATCGAAGATTAATAATTGTGGAAAACACATATTCATAATATATATATCAAGAAATACGAATAGATACGCTATTGTGAATTCATTTAAATTCGGATTAAATCGGAATTATCCTTACTTAAAATTTATTGATTGTTTATTCCATTAAATTGATATAAAATGCCGTTCCAGAATTTGAAATTGATAAACTAATGTCTCAAAATTAAATTTTATCTTCTTATATAATTATTAATCGCATAAAAAATATTTCATTTACGACTACTAAAATGCAAATAAAAATGAATTTTTCTATATTTAATAACTATTATATTTTCATAAAAATTTCATATTTAGAATTATATTCTATATATTATCCTATATATATATATCTAATAAACGAACGATAATGTTTCAAAAAAAGTTTTTTTTTTATTTAAAAATTGATATTTCACCAACTTAATATTCGAAACGAAAATTTATTTTATTTCATGGAAACAAAAATGAATGCAGATTGAAACGATGAAAATAAAATTAACTCGGGGTTAAAATGGTGTAAAAATGTCTATACTTCTTAACCGTATAGGTCAGTCGATTAAGGAAAATGTTAAAGGAATGAGACACCGGTTATTGAAGGTTGACCGAGATATAAAAAACGATGGTTAAAGCTTCGTTCTCGTGTATTTATTGCATATTCGTTAAACTGTCTAGATAACGTCGATTCAATCGACTTTCTGTTAAGAGTGAAACGGTAAACGGATACAATTCGTTAATACAACTATTCACCCCCTTTCATGTACATTTGGAAGACACTGTCGGGTTGATTAACATGTAAACATTTCAATCGAGTTATCGAATATCGAGTGTTCGATGCGATATAAAGTCGAATTGAACGTTGGAGAGGACATAGAATTGAAATAAAACGAGAAACGTTAAATAACTATATTTTTGTGATATGCAATAGAATATATATACGAGGAATTTACGTATCGATTAACAGAAGGATGAAATGTGTTTAAAGTTTCACGTATGCGAAAATATTCCAGAAATATATGAAATATATGAATAAATTTTATAAATATGAAATATATGAATATACAATATATAAATATAATGTATTTTATAGGAATATAATACTGTTAGGAAACGACCTTTTAATTATATTGATAAATTAAGTTCACTTGCAAAACATTGTTTTCGTTAATATATATAAACTTTCAGCTAATTTAAATTATTGACCCATAAAAATTTATAATGTTTTTCAAAAAATGATTTAAATTAATATTACAGCAAAAAATATCGAAAATTATAATTTATGAAGTACAAATTTTTCAACGTTAAATATGATTATTCCTATTGCTTTCAGAATATCGTATAAACGTCACAAATAATTTATTGATATCAAAATGGAGGATGACTTGTACGATTGTTCCCCAAGTAAAGTGAATTCTCAATGGTGTCGAATAATAACTTTGTAACTAGGTTTAATGCATCTCGCGTGTCTAATGTATCTGCAACTTCTAACTTCTGTCGCGGGAAGGTTGCATTTATAACTCGTGTAAACCGCCCCCTTTATTAGACATTTATGTTTTGTGCTATATTGAAATTTTTGTATATATTTTCGGTATCGAATCGAAAAATATTATTCGATGAAAGTTGTGACGTGAAATATTATTTCGACAATTTTTGTATGTAAATATCGTATCTAAATACTCTGTGAATTATATGTCATTGACTAAGCCTAAAGGAATACTGGATGAATATTTATATTACAGAAATTTTGAATATCATGCTACAACAAAATAACTTTTAAATCCTTGATTTCACGGTCTATTCAAAATTGCTAAATCAATTTATGAATGAATACGATTGTACGATATATTGTTACATTTATAATATCATAATAGAAAAGTTGAATGAAAAATAGCGGATTAAAATTTTTTTATGACGTAGCTTTTTACGAAAATTAATTTCAAACATTTGCTAAGTACCTAAAATTATCTATACCTAAAATTATCTTTTCGTAAGCATTATGTTCATACAAATCTTTATGAAAAAGAATTTTATACGTAAGGAAAAAATATTAAAAAATTTTTTCCTAATAATTTCCTAAACTTGTACGATTGAAAATTGAATTTAATATTTAATATTAAAGGCATAGAGAAAAGCTTTCAACAATCAATATATAGAAATAAAAAAAATTTTAAATACATTCTTTTAATTTAGAAATTTGAATCTAATATATGCAAAATGATTTAGAAGCCAATTAATATAAACTAATAAACACTAAAAACAAAATAATTAATTGAAAATTTTAATAATAAAGAAATCCTTGATCTATTTAGTCTATTTTCTTTGATCTTATTTTTAGAGTAAATTAAGTTTTACATTACAATTTTATTTTTATTTATTTTTATATGCATTCTTTACACTAAAATATACTATAAATATAAGACTAAATATTTATAAAAAAATATTACGTGAATATTATTTAAAACTGATAACTAAATATAATTTATATTCTAATTTATAAATTTTCATTTAAATTTTGAATTTAAAATTTAAAATTATGTCAATATATTCTTTAGTTAAAATTACACTAAATATTGATTTCAAGAATTTAAAACAGAAGATAATTGATTCGCTTCGTAAAGTCTGTGCTACAGACATTCAAAGTGATAGCTATGAGTATGATGCGAGCTTGCAAACGACTATGAAGAGAGCAAACGCATTTCAGAGACAGTTTTGGACGTGACATGTGCCTACACTGTCCATCATACTCCTGATTAATCTAGCTCCACTAAATGCAGGTAGATTCAGCAAACAGATAACCAAAACTTCCAGTGAGTAAACATCTCTTACGAAAGCATAATAATGCTACTATGTGATCAAATATCGATAAATAGGAAATATTATAAATCTATTCGTAAGATTTAGATCAAAATCCTGAAATATTGAGATAAATTCATTTTATTTATTATTATTGTAATTTTAATTATATTCTTGCCTCAAAAATACGACTTGGAAATGAAAATATTTCGAAATTTCTATTCTTCTTTTCTAAATTTAATATTTTTTAAATAATTAGTGTTTGCAAAACGTACGATTGTTATAAAGTGAATAATTTTAAAAATATTTTTCTAAAATCAACAAAAATGAAACACAAAGATTCCTATAATTCTCAAATATATATCAATAAAACCATATTTTCGTTCTATAAAAATCTAATTTGATTTTTAAAAAGAATAATCTTTAATATAAAAAGTATTACTAGAAACGTGCCTCAACAATAATTTCTCGTAATTCTCTCAAAAGAGGAAAAGTAAGAAAAGATATCAGGGAAATGAAACTTGATTGGGTCAAGAAAGAAACATAAAAGAAACGGTAAAATTAATTAAGAACAAATGTAATTATTCTCTGAACGATATTAAATAAAATTCTATGGAAATTATTTACGTGAAATTATATCACTCCATCATTGATATACACGATAAAAAGCTATTGCAATTCAGATGAAGTCTACGGTAAATATTTATCCTTTGCTAAGACTATAAAAGACAACGTTCTCTTTATCTCGACTCTGTTCAAAGATACATCCGCAACAAAAGAGACATCTTTAATGCTTGAAATACTTGTGCGTGAACAATGCAAAGATCTTCTTACCTGGCCACAGCTTCACTGTACACGAATCCAGCAGTTGCTCTCCGGACGACCTCGAAGCATAAATCAGAGCCATCCATACTGAAACAGAAACACGACATTAATGCATAATTTACAAGGTATGCAACAATTTATAGGCGCATCGATGAAAAAAGCTCTGGTATTTTGCTACACTTCCAACGTGTGCACGTGTGCACGTGTTTCGAAGGACTTGCATAATGAAAAATGATCTCTGAACTAAATGCATACATAGCATCACGTGTTGTTTTATTTTATTTATTTTTATTTCGAGAGATAAAATAAAAAAAAAATAAAATAAAAGATCTGCCATACGTAAAATCATCAATACGTAAAAATATAGTATAATTTTTCTTTCGCAAAATTGAAATATATACACGTATCATATGATATATTGTCATAATTAAAATTAGAATTAATGGCTTTAAATATTCTGAATAGCTATAAGATTGCGTAAGAATATCACATTAAGATACTAACAAATATAAATTGAAAATTTACAATTCCATCAATAATTATGAGAAATAATGACCTTTTGCAAATTCTCAACTGTTACGAAATATCAGAAATAAATATCTATATATATTCTGCCATTTCACATTTCTGAAGATTATAAATTGTTCCATAATTATGACATAAATATATATAGTTGAAATTATTAGTTTCTGTACATTGTGTATTCACTTTCGAAAACGAAGACAAAATATACAAGTATTGATTATGCGTGAAATAAACATGATTTAAATTAACAAACCACATTGATGATCGACTGTGTTGTGAATTGATTGTGTTAACAATCGTAACGAGGTTTCTTGCCACATTGTATTGTGTGTCCTAATTATTGTGAATTCATTTGAAGCTAATTAGGTCGATTCGTAATGTACAATTTTTACGAAAGAAGTATAGTATAGAACGAGATAGGGAACTAATTGCAAAATTCTATGGCACAAAGATGCTCATTTAATTATAAGAAAGTAAAATTTAATATATAACGAAATTTTGAAGTCATAATTTTTCATTCCAAATAAAAAAATTAATCATACTAATAAAACTTAATATTTTTATAAAATAATTACTAACAATATTTAGCTCCTATATTTTTTATTTAAAACGATTTATAGATAGTAAATTATACAAATGAAATAGAAATGGCTATAATCCCTAAATACTAAACTTCAATTATTGTTATATTTTTTTGAAGTTTAAGCTTATATAAGAAAATATTAAGATTATTCCAATTGTTCTAATATTTTTATTGTAAATATTGATAATAAAATGCAATTAATTAGATAATATTATTCTATCAATCGAAATCTGAAGAGACAACGTTTAAATATCCTGAATATGTTTAAATATGTACATGTAAATAAATAGTGAAGACAATAAAAGACTGCACGTGAATTTACCATTTAAGAACTTTGCGTGCTTCTTGATATATGTATATTAGAACGCGTGGCTAATTCATACAATGTGTGACACTGCTTCGCAGATACTAGACATCCAATTAGAACAACTGCTGACAGAAGCTTGTTTCTTTCCGCAGTGACGATAGAACGATCATATAGGATTATTTCCAGTGAAGTGAATAAGTATTTGAGTTTTATTTGTCACGATATTCTTTTAATTTAAAATTTTTTTATTTACTTAGGATATATTTAATTCGTTAATAATAATCATTAAATCATCGCCCATTATCTATCACTAAAATTAATGTCTTTATCATTAATTTTAAAACTTCAAATTTTAATTATTACGATTATCCATACTATCTAATGCTGAATTATGATTTTGTTATTTAAGATAATTTATCTGGTTTATTCGATTGTTTTGTAAATTATTTTTTGTGAATGAAAAATTGAAACAACAAGCAAATTTTTCATTTAAAAAAATATTAAATAAAAAGATATACGAATCAACACGGTACTCAACGCAAAATAAAGTGTAACTATTTAAAACTAACTGCAAACGATTTAATCCATTAATACAACCATTCCATAACATGGTTTTGCTATTCATTTTTATTTAAAGAATACTTCGTTTTATATATTCCATTTTAATATCAATATATTATTATGTTAAATATCATATAAATATGACAAATTTATCAATTTTTTTTATCTTTTATTATATAAAGAATTCAACTTCAAATAAAACAATGAAATAATGAAACTTATCGAAATATGTAATGATATTCAACTAAATTACAATTGAAAATATTGATAAATTTGGAGAGATTATATTACTAATTAATTAATAACGCGGCAGCTGACAAAAATGGTCAAATATAACTAACTGAAATGTAACTAACTGCAGACCGTGATATTGTATAAACGCAAATTATAACAATTATAATGCAATGATTCTAGAAATTCATATATTATAAAACATGAATGAACATTGTATTTTCAATAATTATATATTATTTAATCGCGAATTAATTTCAATAAAAAAAAGAATCCATAAAAAAAGAGAAAAGATTTTTTAATATATATAATTTTGGCTTCAATTTATCAGTTCAGTAGGACATGATTAAATAATTTTATGATAAAAGGGAGAGACAGTGAAGATGAGTGTGATATAATATCTTTTATAAGGTATATTATATATTTCAGTACATAAGTTATTGTAGCTTGAATCCGTAGCTAAAATAAGCAAACTGCTAAGCGGTGGGTGTATCGGTTATACTCGTATATGTCAGGAACGTGTGCGTTACGTAAAATAAAATTTAAACTTTTATATTATGAAATAAAACAAAATTATATATGAATCCCACATTTCGAATATTTTAGTAATATTAGTTTTGTAAATATTAATGTATTATTATATTTTAATGCATTTTAATATTATATTAAATGCACAATCTTTCTCTCTCTCTCTTTTTTTCTCTTTTTTTATGGTTTAAAATAAAGTTTTTCTTGAAAATTTTTATAAATTAATTTTATTATTAATTTTATCAAGTCATATTTTTCAGCTTTTTAACTTTAAAGTATTAAAGCATTCCCTTTTATTATATCAAAAATATAAAATCGATATATAAAAATGAAATCAAATCTTATCAAGTCTGTTTATCGTGCCTTTCATTTGAAAAAATAATATTTTATATACATCGATTTAATATTTTCTATTTAAAAAATTATGTATTCTAAAATTATATTGAAAAAATTGAATGAAACTGATATACTTGACATATCAAGAACGTATTCGAAAGATCTTTTAAAAAATTATAAACAAATTTTATTAAATTCAAGATCAAGATATCTTTCTTTTTTAATTTCATTTAATTTTTCCTCTCAATATTTAAAACACCCTAAAATATTACATAAAATTCCTTTAAAAATTTAAGATCAATTTATGATGGAAATCTATTCTCATTTTTATTGATGAATTATTAAAATCGAACAGAACTCTGTGAATTGAACATAAAGTTTTGTTCTTCAAAAGAAGAAGAAGGAATAAATTAAAATAAATTAAAATGTGATAATACTTACTATTCGAACACCATATAGAGCATACCCTCCGAGCTGTATGTTTCTAATAACTCTACTATATGGGGATGTTTTAACATGTGACATATCGTGGCCTCTCGTTTCAAATCTGCAACAATCATATTTTTCAAATTAAATTTTTTTTTAAAAATTACGATAAAATATTTGAATTAATGATATTTTGTATTTGTAATTAATAACTAAATATCTCAAAGAAAAAATATAATAATTTAACAAAATTAAAATTAAACGAATTAATGATATTATTTGAATGAAATACTACTTTTAAGATTTTAAGATTTCTAAAGAATTAATGAAAATTATACAACTATATGAAATTATATAAATATAAAATACTAATGAAATTAAGAGATATTCGATAAAAAATTATTTTACAATTAAAAAAAAATTATTACACGGAATACTTTTATGGCTTCTCGTGATTGAAATATAAAGATGGTAAGAAAATATTGGAAAAATATTGGACAGTAATCACGTTAGAAACCGGATCTTATTAAATTGATTTTTATCAGAACTATGACGTTCAAGCGGTCTCTTGAAATCATGTTCTAACTATGACGCATTTTTATAATATTATTAACCTTTAAAGCGATGCATCTCCTTTTTAACTATTATTAGACCTATGTACCTCTTAGATGAACGTATGTAAAAAAGATAATTTTTATTATTAGACACGTAATAAATATACACTGTAAGAAGTGCCACGCCTACGTAGAACTCTGACAATTATATTTTTTATAAACAGATATTAAATTTTTCTTTTAAAAAATGAAAACAGACTCTTTAACTAAATCTTTAACTAAATATTTCACTCCATCTTATTTCTCTCTAAAAATATAAGAAAATATATTTCAAAATAGTTATATAAAGGAAAACCCACCACTTTGAATATCTTATATTTAACTTTCATGGTTAATAATATTAATGTCGAAAGAATAAACTTCAAATATTGTGAAGAATCCTAATTATACGATCAATAATATTGTCAATATTATTTAATATGGGTACGTATGGAACGTCAAAGATTATCTAATAGAGACATAAACTTGTTTTGATAACAAATTTACTCATATTATACGAAGACTGGAAATCAAACAATTTTTTGACAAAAATAAATATTTGTTTCATGTTTTATTTAATATATTTATATAATAATATAAAAAATAGATTAATCTTCTTTTATATATTTATTATTTAAATCATGAAACTATTTGCTTTTTGTACTTTTGCTTTCATTAACTAATTTATATAAATAAATTTTAGTAATCTTAATTCCAGTAATCGTAAATTTCGATATTTCATATTAATTGAAACTAAAAATATAATTTTTATAAAAATATATCGAAAACTATTTGTTGCCCACAAAAAGCTTAAATTTTGCAAAAGAAATTAATTATATATATATATAACATTCGTGTATTACACACCATCGACATCCTCACGCAAGTAATGAAATCTTATTCTCTCAGAAACCGGAAACTTGGCAATAACGATCGCAGTAGGATTTACGGTTCATTTCTGAAATCGGCCGCACGTGTTCCACATTAAAATCCACATTTAGGAGAGACGAATGCAATTTCATTCGAGTCGCACAATGGATTGTGCAGATTCATGGGCTCCGTATGGTGGTGCCGTAAAAGAGAATACGTAAACATGAAATCGAGCAGAGAGAATACGTTTGTTTCGAACAGCCGTGGCGGAAATTAATGGCGGAACAGAGAGGCGTATGCGCGAGATTCCCAATTCCCTCGAGAACTCACCGTTCGTGCTTAGACCGGGGCTGGATGTGAACTTTGCCACGTCCACGATTTTTACCGCGAACGTCTGCCCTGTCTGCCTGTGAATGCATTTCCTTACAACGCTGAATGGTCCCCTGAAAAAGAATATAATAGGTTAAACACGTGTAAACCAAAAAAAAAAAAAAAAAAGA